CCCCCCCCCCCACACAGTGTTATTTATCAGAATACCCAGAATGCATAGCTCCCTTTGTTTTTAGCAGCTATGTAAAGGTAAGTACACGAGCTCTTTTTAAAAATTGGTGTTTATATAAGCTTTAAAACATACCAGTAATTCCATCTCTGTGTTTGTGCATTTAAGGTTTTAAGCTTAAATTACAGTGTTTAAATTTGTTGATTTCCCAATTTGAGGAAAGATACTTTTTAGAAGTTGCAGTTTGTCTAATGTGACACGAAGCTTGAGAGATCACTGGCACATCTGCTCTGTCTCAGTGCTAACTGCAGTTGTTTGTTTGTTTTCAGTATTATGTGCCAAGAACCTTGCGAAGAAGGACTTCTTCAGTAAGTACCACCAGCTTTGCTCTTACACAGTGAGATTTATATACTTGAAAATTAGTTTTTACGTGTGGGTCTGTGTATATAACGTGTGTGTGTGTGTGTGTGTGTGTGTGTGTGTGTGTTTCTCACAGCATGCGTGTGGCGGTCTGAAGACAACAGGTGTCATTTCTCTCCTTCCACCATGTTGGCAACAGGGATTGAACTTAGATCATGTTGGCCCCTGACATTTAATTTTTTTTTTTTTAAACAGTGGGTGTAGTCTTCTAAAAGCCTAGGGGTCCAGAGCTTGACAAACATCCCCCAGCTGCACACAGCATCAGTCTCATCCTCCATCCCAGCCATGCTCATGTCCCCTGCTTCCTGGCCTGGTAGCTGATAGGACCCACACTCTGCAGAGTGAGGTGGTATTCTCTGCTCGAATGCCGATGAAGCATTTATGATGTAAGTGGCTTAACTAAAATTGCCAATCCAATTTTGCAAATTAAATCCCATTTTAAAATGTGTATGGGAGGAACTATGAAGCAGTAAGGGCCAGGCTCCCGAGCGTGCCTCACCCGAGGTGAAATCAGCGCCTGCAGCCCTGAAAACTCCTCCTTCCAGTCCTGAGGGCTCAGTGCTTAAGTGGCGTCATCCGAACTTTCAGGATGAAGAGACTTAAGTTTAGAGGCTTTCTATCCAAGTGGTGGCTCACAGCCCAGTCTCCTTCCAGAACTCCCACCAGGCCTTGCCACTTGTCTGCTGTCAGAAACTGGGACTTACCCCAGTTAAGACTTGGGGACTCCATGATGCCACAGCTAACACAGAGCAATAACAAAGTTTGTGGGGACTGTGATAGTCTAGAAATTTAGTTCACCATAGATCCCATTCCTACATTGTTAGTTCCTTTGATGATCATCAGAGACGGGGCTGGCTGGAGAGAAACGGCTCAAAGTGTATGTGTCCCGGCACCCTCATCCGCAGCTCACTGTGCACCGCTCTAGCCTTTGTAGTACCCACGCACATGTGCACACACGTACACGAATAAAAGCAGTTTTTGAAATGTAAAGCTCAGCAGAGACGGACATTTGACTTCGAGCCTGTTCTCACGCCTTTCTGCTGATGTGCGTGTGAAGGTGTGTGGCAGCAGCATGTCTCAGAACTCTCTGCTAATGGAGACTGACTGACCTGCAAAGCGAGGCTAGTGAGGAGTGCCAGGTGCTGGGCCTTGACCCCTCGGTGCCCTTGCTGGTCTGTCTGCATGCAGGATGACTGGGCCACCAGCTTGACTGTCCTCTGGGTTTGTCTGCTGTCTCCCGCAGGACTCCCTGACCCCTTTGCCAAGATTGTAGTGGACGGCTCTGGGCAGTGCCACTCAACTGACACTGTGAAAAACACCTTGGACCCAAAGTGGAACCAGCACTATGACCTGTGAGTCAAAACTCCCAGAAGGCCCTGGGGCTGCGGGAAGGCAGGTGTCAAGCTCTAAGAGACACAACTCACTTAAAAAGATGACTGGCTTTTTACTGATAACCAACGGGGTAGCCATGCAAATGCGTATTGCTGGCCTTACAGTTGATATCCTCTGATGTTCTTGGCACTTTTCTCATGGGTTTTCATGATTTGGCTGTTAACAGAGTGATTCTATGATCCTGGACATTTCAACCCCCTGGTTGTTTTTAGCAGAAAAACAAACAAACAAAGAGCTGTGATTCATCCCTCCAGTGTGCTACTCTTTTTTTCTTTTTTCAGTGAAGTGATGTTTTTTGGTACTAATGTTCCGCAACCCATGATATAGCTTATACATCTATTCCAAGTTCAGGGTTATATTTTTATATGGGCCCGTGTCCCGCATAATGATTAGCGTAAATTGTCCTGTATATGCGTGCATGGCGTGGGTGCTTTTCAGTAGCATTTGCATTTTGTGATTTTCTTCGCTTTACTTGGAAATGGCTACATTTGTCTTGATAGGCCCCTCTGTGGACTCGCCCGAGGACTGAGTAGGTTATTATCTTGTTCACGTACCTTTGCACATTTTGGATGGACCGTGACATTGTAAGGAGTCCCAGTGTTCTCTGCTAAGCCTGGGCCACTGACTTTCAGAAGTGCTAGAGCATATTCATCCTCTTTACAAGACCTTCTCATGTGCTGGGCTTGTTGGTACAGGTCTTTAGTTCTGGCCCTTTGGGAGGCTGAGGTAGGAGCATTGTAAGTTGAAAGCCTGCCAGGTTTACAGAGCTGGTTCAGTCTAGCTGTTATTCCATGGGGAGATACAAACACATACAGACCGAGGTAATGATTCCACTGGAGTCTGGCTTGGTGACTTTATTAGTTCACTGGCTTTACTCACAGGAGGGTGGGTGAGGGGTGGCTTAGAGGAACAGCAGCAGTTCTGAAAGCCCACCCCAGCATCAGTGATAACCTCTGGAAGCTGGGCCCTGTTGTTCTCTTCAGGATTTGCAGGCAGCTCAACCACTTGGAGAGTGTCCTCTCCTCAGTAGTCCTTACCATGTCACCCTGGGAGGGGAGGGAGGGACCTTGTGAATCTGCTAAGTTCCAGGACTTCCTGAGACTTGTGAATTGCTTACTTCCTATGTTTTAATGAGAGTTCTTTAGAATTTCCTGAGTCTCAATAAGTCTCCTTCTGGTGTATACTGTTTCAGTTCCTAGGATACTGCTTCACAACAGCAGCCTGGGCAACTTAGACTCCATCTCAAAATTTAAAAAAGTTTTTTTCTTTTTTTTTGGTTGTTGTTGTTGACGGGTTTTTGTTTTATTTTGTTTTGTTTTTAAGTGGGGTGGAATGGGATTGGGCATGTGGCTCAGGTAGAACCCCTACCAGTGAGAGGTCAGGGCCTGGCTCAATGCTTTGGCCTGTGGGAAGCCGTCAGTTCAATCTTAGGACAAGAAATGAATGACTAAAGGAAAAACAAATTTAAAAACACTTATTACAACATGGTTACCTGCCCTCACTGCTTGTGTGCCTGGTTGGAGTCCGTTCCCCATACCTTGTGGGGTACACAGCCAGGTGTACCCAAAACACAAGAATTCCGAGTCAGTCAGCTGCATATAGATGAGGGCGTCACGGCTGAGAAGTGTCCTGAATGGCTCCGTGTGCTCTCGCAGGTATGTTGGGAAAAGCGACTCCATAACCATCAGCGTGTGGAACCACAAGAAGATCCACAAGAAGCAGGGCGCTGGCTTCCTGGGCTGCGTGCGGCTGCTCTCCAATGCCATCAGCAGGGTGAAAGACACTGGCTGTAAGAACCGCGTGCTGCCTCTCAGGCAGCTGCAGAAAGCTTAGGAGGCATCCTTCTCTTTCTTTTGTTTGTTTTGAGTGCTGAATGCAGAATTCCTGCCTTCCTCCCTAGTTAATGTTCCTTGGGTTAAGTTCTGAATTGTTTGTTTGCAGACCAGCGTTTGGATCTGTGCAAACTAAATCCCTCAGATACTGATGCTGTTCGTGGCCAAATAGTGGGTAAGAATTTTCTCATCTGCGTAAAGGGCTCTTTGACAGAACCTGCCATCCTGCTCCCAACGCTGGTGGGGCGAGGTTTACAGGGCAGGCCGCATCGGGCCATCTCTCTAGTACTAAACTTTTCCTCTTGTGTGGTTTTCATTCTTTTCTCTGGTTCCCTTTATCCTGTCATTGAAACTGAGTTAATGTGACTCCAGTTGAGATAGGAGGTTGTGATGTATCATGCGAATCACCGCAAGCATGGACAGTTAGCTGTTAAATTGTCCAGGGGTAATACGAGCTGAGGCCACTTGTTGAAGAGTTGACTTGGGATGACCACATACGCAAAAGCTGGAATATATGGCCTCTCTGGGAAGCCCCATCCCGTGTGGCAAAGGCAAAGATGATGTATGACTAATCCATGTAATGTGATTTCTAGATAGAGGATTCCATTGTGTGGAGAGAAAAATGAAAGTGTGCTTACAGAGTTGACTGGAGGCATTCCGATGGAGTGACCTCTCTGAGTTGCCTGTCCCCTTGCCCACCCTGTTCTTGGCAGTGTTTTAGGGGAAAGTGCATGTTGGCTGTGTGTTCTGCACAGAGTTAGTGGAGCAGCAGCTAGGCTGAGTCACTCTGCGACTCCACATACCTCAGGTCCCAAGACAGTGAGCAGTGTCTCCGCCCTGGAAGCAACTTGTGGACCAAGTTCTCACGCATTACATTCCCACTTGGAATTTCTTCTTTTCTCTGTGGAGGAATGTCTCAGGGCAGAAACCAAACAACTGAAAACCTAGGAGCAAAATGCCTTTCTTGTTCACAACAGTAAGGCTAGAACATAAATGTGTTTTTAGCTTGAAGGTGTTTGTACCTTCACTAAACATAAATCAAACCTTCTTAAGATGGAATAGCTTAATGGAATTAAATACTGTATTTTATAGCTTTATGGAGGGGGCATGGGAAGCTCAGCACCTTTTCTGCTCTCTGCTTTCAAATAGTATTCAAATGGTGTGTGGTATGTGCAGCTGTTGGCCTGCGATGCTTCACACCGAAAGCAATAAGGTGGGGGCAAGTAAACTCACTTCCTTTTTATGATACTGGACATACGTTGTAGTGTCTGTCAGTGGCTCACTGTGCTGCAGGGGTGCAGAGCAGACCTAGGTTTTAATGCAAGCTTTTCTTTTGTGTTATAGTCAGTTTACAGACCCGAGACAGAATAGGCAGTGGCGGGTCGGTGGTGGACTGCAGAGGACTACTAGAAAATGAAGGGTATGTATGCTTGCCATGATGCCAGCCATTTTCTCTTTCTCTGTAGAAAGAAGCACCAAATCATATACTCCTGTGTAGGATAAAGCTGTGCTCCAGGCTACTAGTTTATGAGGGAAGGTTTAACTAGCTGAGAAATTGTACCCCAAAGATTCAAGAACCAACTCAGAGCATCTACCAGCTAGAGGGGACAGTTTAGCTGGGCATGATGGAATATGCCTGTAAGGGGACAGAAGCAGGAGGATCCTGAGTTCCAGGTGACTATGAGCTATCAAGAAGGGTGAAGAGAAGGAGAAAGATGAGGAGGAGGAGGAGCAGGAAGAAGAAGAAGAAAAAGAAGAAGCCACCGCCACTCAAGAAACAGCTAGTTTTAGTATGGGTTAACCTTGATGTCATTCCCTAGGAGTCATTCACTTGGCTTTTGCAGCAGTCTTTCATTGGCTTGGGACTCATCAGGGAGCCCCAGGGCTGCCCCTGTCTTCTCTCTCACCAGCGCCAGGCTTACAAGCACGCACTATCGCTGCTTACACAGTGAGCGCTTTACCAGCCGGGCCATTTCTCCAGGCCCGGACTTTGTTCTAATCACGATTTATAGGACAATTAGAGAAATTTCAACATTGACTTGTGTTTGACTTTTTGTTGTTGTTGTTCAGCTACAGTAGTGGAAAAGTCATTGTTTTTAAAAAAGTGGTCCATGCTAAAATGTGTGTGGATAGAATGGTAAAATGCAGGGATTGGGCTGACAGAAACCCAGTGGTGGGGAGGAACGAAGAGCAGCCTGGGGACACGCGCTGTAACCAGCTGCTGGTTGCAGGTACAGGCCCATTGTTCTGGCCTTTCATGTATGTGGAATTTTTCAATATGGGTTTTTTTTTGTTTTTTTTTTTTTTTTGTTTTTTTTTTTACTTTTTAAAGTATTTGGTCGTAAAGGGAAGTGACTCATTAAAACAAATTGTTTTTGAAACTGCTTGGGGGGGTTATATTTAAAAAACACTTAGAGTCATAGTATTTTATGTAACCAAGAATTCCATCCTTGAATAAAATAACAAAGAAAATGGAGTGTTTGGGTAAAATCAAGAAAAAGAAAATGTCAGGCACACCTTCTGCTCCGTCATTTAGCTGCACACTGGGGTGGCTCTGTTAGCACTCTAAATCATGGTTCGCTCTGACTTCCCGATCCTCTTGAGAGTCTTTCTCTCATTGGACACTGAATGTCATGAAGCCTAGCATTGGAACACTGTAACTCATTTACAAGGATGTAGAATAAATGCATATGGCCTTTGAGTGTGTGTCTTATGACCCTTGTATGGTGGTTCTATTCCTGCTCTGCCCTGTCCCTTCCAGAACGGTGTATGAAGACTCGGGCCCCGGAAGGCCACTCAGCTGCCTCATGGAGGAGCCTGCTCCATACACAGACGGTACCGGCGCGGCTGCAGGAGGTGGGGACTGCAGGTTTGTGGAGTCTCCCACCCAAGACCAGAGGCTCCAGGTCCAGCGCCTCCGAAATCCTGAGGTCCGAGGGTCCCTCCAGACGCCCCAGAATCGACCACATGGCCACCAGTCACCGGAGCTGCCTGAAGGCTATGGTGCGTGTCTTACTTTGCTCCCAGTTGCTGTGACAGACACCATGACTAAAAGCAGGTCTGGGAGGAAGGGGTTAGTTAGGCTTAAAGGTTATAGTCTGTCACTGGGGGGAGTCAGAGCAGGAGCGGGAGGCAGGCACTGCAGTAGAAGCCATGGAAGAGTGCTGCTTACTGGTTGCCCCTCATGGCTTGTTCATTCTGCTTGCTTTCTTTTTTGTTCTGTTTTCTGAGACAGTGTCTCAGTCTGGAGTCTTGGCTGGTTTGGAACTCACTATGTAGACCAGCCTGGCCTTGAGCTCAGAGATCTACCTGCCTCTGTCTCCTGAGTGCTGCTACTAAAGACACCACCATGCCTGGCCTCACCCTGCTTTCTTAAACCATCCTGGACGATCTGCCCAGTGGGCTGGGCCATCCCAGATTAATCACTAACCGAGAAAGTGCCCCACAGACTTGCCTATAGGGCAATCTGATGGAGGAATTTTCTCAATTAAGATTTCTCTTTTCTCAAATAACTCTAGCTTCTGTCAAGGTGACAGAAAACCAAGACAGCGAGGAACTTGCCCTGTGCTGCTGGGTTATCAACAGGTTCCCCCCACCCCCAAGACAGGGTTTCTCTGTGTAGCCCTGGCTGTCCTGGACTTGCTTTGTAGACCAGGCCGGCCTCAAAAGTCACAGTGATCCACCTGCCTCTGCCTCCCTGAGTTCTGGGATTCCAGGCATGAGCCTCTGTGCCCAGCAGTCAGAACTTTTTCTGACAGCCTGTGCTGTCAAGCCTTTCAAGTACCCTGTGCACAGCTGCTAATGGCCAGGCTGTGCCTGCCATGGCTGTGGCATTGGGTGGCCTGACCATGTATGCAGGGAAAGCTGTAAGGAACTCCAGAGCAGGCATCCCTTTCCTCTGTGTAGGGGCCACCTGGGAATGGTGGCTTCATCCATAGCAGAGGGACAAGGCAGTGTCAAGACAGCAGTGTAAGGAAACACACAGTGGCCTGAGATTTGAGAGTGGAAGAGGGACATCATGGGGATGGAGTGAGCAGAGCCATGAGGCTTCAGTGGAGAGAAGGACCAAGAGGGCTTGCCGTGATCAGCAGTTCACCCAGACACAGCCCATTAGGAGACAGTGGTGGAGGTGGAAGGTTGTGTCTGTGGCAGAAGTGTCTGGAAGCATCTACTTCAGGGTGGCTCAGTGAGGAAAGCCTCAGGAGAAATGATCTCTCCCCAAATGTGGTAGAGTTGAGGAAGCTAGCCACAGCCTTGTAATTCGTTTCTCTGTGGTCTCTCATGAGTGTTGAAAGAAGCAAGTACAGGGGTGCTCACCTGCAGTCACACCACAGAGGAGGCTGAGGCAGGAAAGTCATGAGTTCAAGGCCAGTTTGGGCTACATCATAAGACCTGTGTCAAAACATCAACACAGATAGATACATGGAGGGAGGGAGGGAGGAAGGGAGGGAGGGAGGGAAGGAAGATGGATGGATGGATGGATGGATGGATGGATGGATGGATGGATGGATGGACAGATAGAATAAATTGAAAATAAAAACTTAAGAGTCTGCAACTAGGATTAGAGTGGGAAACTGGGGCAGAGTTTACTTACACGGATCCCTTTTCTCATGCAGAGCAAAGGACGACAGTACAGGGTCAAGTTTACTTTTTGCACACGCAGACTGGCGTCAGCACGTGGCACGACCCCAGGATCCCCAGGTAGGCCTCACAGGCCTGAAGAGCCAACCCCTCTCTTGGAAGCTAACAGTGCAGTGCCATGTGAAGGGAGATGGAGGCTGGGACTTGCTGGGCAGGGGCGAATGTGGGGGAGAGCAGGAACATGGTGGGCCTCGGTCATTGTTGAAGTTGGTCACATGGCCATCTACTGTGCTCTCTCTCTCTTTACTTTTTTATAAATGCATAAACTTTTCCATGATAAAAAGTTAAACAGGAAAGATAAAGACTCTGTCACCCTTTCTCTCTTCTGCTTTACTGCCCCTCTTGCCTCAGTCCCTTGGGGACCATTCCGGGGGGAGATGAAGCTTTTCTATACGAATTCCTTCTACAAGGCCATACATCCGAGCCCAGGTCAGAGAGACCCCTGCCCCACCCCGTGCCAGAGTTAAGTTTCTTTCCTTCTTCGCTATTTTCCTTTTCTCTGTTTTCCTTTTATAGTAGCATTATTACCTAAGAGGCCTTGAGTAATGCTCATTTCCTTTTTATTCATAATTTGTTCCCCTCAAGAAGCAGCTTCCCATCCTTGGTGTTACAATTCAGGGTCTGTCATTTGTGTGAGAATATTACCTACAAATGAATGAGGCGCCTCTTGGTGTGCATCGTAAGAAATGACAGGCGTCTGGGTTAGTCCTTAAAGCGTCTTGATCAGGCATGCTGGTTCCCTCTGACTGGATCACAGTGAAGTTACCAAGGGGCCAGAGTGAAAGCGCCTGCTGAACATGGGATGTTGTAGGCCGTTGTGCCACTGAGGGCGTACTCTGCCCTCCCCAGTCGAGAAAGTGTGGGGGCCCTTGGGAGCCTTTCAGTGGAGGAACCTTTGCTACACCAAGGGTCTGGTTGATTTGATTCCCAAGAGCTTTCTGACAGAAGCCAGGTGCTTTCTGCTAGCCTGTCCCTCTGTTGTATAAGAAAGGTTGTCCCTGGGGTAGTCCCGTTCCTTGTGGTGGACAGAGACTCTCAGGGGTGTGGTCTTCCCTGCCAGATGTGGCTGCCGTTTGTAGGCCAGAGGCTTGGACTTACTGGGGTTGGCACAAGTAGCAGTGTGATGGGGATGTGGGCACCCTGCTAGGAAATCTCTGTGGCTGCTGGCACTGTGGTCAGTCTTACTCCTTGGTTCTCAGTGGGATAAAGCTCTCTGTATGTTCCGTTTTGCTAGAGACCTTAACAGTGTGAACTGTGATGAACTTGGGCCGCTGCCTCCCGGCTGGGAAGTCAGAAGTACAGTGTCGGGAAGAATCTATTTTGTAGATCACAATAATAGGACAACCCAGTTTACAGACCCACGGCTTCACCACATCATGACGTAAGACCTTAACATCTTTGCTGGCCTCTTTATAATTGGATGCTTCCTTCACCAATGTCGGGGTACATGTGGGGTTGGGGCAAGTGCTCACCAGTGCTGTGGGGGTGTGCAGAGGCCATAGGTCAGTGTCGATTTCTTCATCATTCTCTACACTAATTTTTGAGCAGGGTGACCTGGAACTCACCTCTTCGGCTTGTGGAGCTGACTAGCAAGTCCCCCAGGTCTGCCTGGCTCCGCTCCTAGCACTAGAGTTTTGTTTTGTTGGTTTTTTTTTTTTTTTTTTTAATAATTTTTTTATTTATTTATTTTTTTAATATTAATCACGGGTTCCCTCCCAATCCTACCCTCTCTCCCTCATCTCCTCCCTGCCCCTTTCCAAGTCCACCGAGACAAGGGTTGGTTGTTCTTGAGACAAGGTTTCTGTGTGTAATAGTCCTGGTTGTCCTGGATTAGCTTTGTAGACCAGGCTGGCCTTGAGCTCACAAAGATCTACCTGCCTCTGCCTCTGGAGTGCTGGGATTAAAGGCGTGTGCTCCCATGCCCAGCTCCAGCACTAGAGTTTTTACTTAGGTGCTGGGGCTCTGAACGCAGGTCCTCATGTTCACAAGTAATTGACTCCCTGAAGCCATTCACTCAGGCCCACACTAATAATTTTCTTAATGTGCCTACTGTAGTGTTTGCTTGATGGTGGGCACAAACAAAATAAGGTAGATATTTGATGAGCAGTGGCATAGTTTAACCCTGGAGATTAACATGACCATGACTAAGGCTTGCATCACCGGTGCCTCACACATAGCTCTGCAGTATGGCTGGCATTAGCTACAGAACATGAATAAAGCAAATGGCAAATTGTCCCTAGCAGCCCTGTGAGTCCTGTCACTGATCTTTGTTCTTAGTGAAAATGGCTGGAAGTCTCGATCCGAAGGAGGAGTGGATGTCGCTGGATGTCAGGAGTAGTTTGCTCCTCACTTCTGGCTTGGCTTTCAATGATTGTCTCCTGCCAGCCTCATTTCATTCCTGCCAAGGCCCTTCCAATAGTGTACCAGTTGGTGTCAATGACACATATAGATGCATGACACACAGTGACAATTTCTGTTGTAATTTTCAGTAATAATATATCAGACTGTATTAGTCAGGTTTTCTACAGAATGGACACAAATCAAACAGAACAAAATCTACAGAATGAACACATACATATAAACACACCATATGTGTGTATGTGAGAGAGAGAGAGGGAGGGAGATTTATTAGAATGACTCACAGGCTGTGGTCCAGGTAGTTCCACACTGGCTGTTCACCAACAGAAGGTACAAGAATCCAGTTCAGTCCCCAAGGCTGGGTGTCTCAGTATATCCTCACCACACGCTAGATCCTGAAGAAGTAGGCTTTCGAGCTGCAGAGCCGAGAGCAAGCAGACAGAGAGCAGCCTTTCTTTTTCCATGTCCTATTATCTAGGCTGCCAGCAGAAGGCATGGCTCAGATTAAAGATGGATTTTCCCGCTTCACAGATACAGATTACTTCAAATGACCTAATTAAAAGAAAACCAAATCTCACAGGTGTGCCCAGCCATTTGGATTTTAGTTCATTCCAGGTGTAGTCAGCTTGACAACCAAGAACAGCCATTGCACAGACGGATGACTGCTGGGAATTGGGTGTCTCCTTTATTGCACCCCAGACCTGTGTCATCACCTGCATCATTGACAGCATCTGCAGCTGTCCTTCAGCTGAGCAGTCCTGTCGGTAGAAGAGCCTGCTGCCTGCAGTGTGTGCTGGGGCCCCCGAATCGGTGGGGTACAGTCTGGCCTTCAGCTTTCTGGCTTGTCCAGTGATGGTTGTTTCTCCTCTTTGCAGTCACCAGTGCCAACTCAAGGAGCCCAGCCAGCCACTGCAGTTGCCCAGCGAAGGCTCTGTGGAGGACGAGGAGCTTCCTGCCCAGAGATATGAGAGAGATTTAGTCCAGAAGCTCAAAGTTCTCAGACATGAGCTCTCTCTTCAGCAGCCCCAAGCAGGTCATTGTCGCATAGAAGTTTCCAGAGAAGAAATATTTGAGGTAAAGATTACATCTTGCTGAATCATATAGCCCCATGGAGGAGGCTACATGCGGGAGGCGTGTGTTAAATAAGCTGTATTTACATCTTGGTGGACTCTGCTTTCTGCTTGGTATTTGAAGGATCAGCTTACTCATTTATTTCTGTTGTTTAGTTTTTAGTATAGCTCAATGTAGTAGCTTTTTATCCCTGTACTGGGGAGTCAAGGGCAGGTGGATCTCTATGAGTTTGAGGCCAGTCTGGTCTATATAGTGATTTCCAGGACAGCCAGGGCTACACAGTGTGACCCTGCCTCCAGAAAAGATTTTTTTTCATTGTGTCTACTCATTATACAAGGTTCTGTTACACAAGGATATTTTCACACTGTTCACTGTATCTCTCTTTCCCACCCCCACTCTCCACTTTCTTGCCCTCCCATACTTCTCTTGTTTTCCCAAGCTTTTACTTCTTTGGTAGATATGTATATATGATTTTATAGATCTATAGAATTTAGGAATCTTGTGTATGAGAAAAACACATGGTATTTGTCTTTCTGAGACAGGCTTAATTTACTCACTATAATTATCTCTAGTTGCTTCCATTTTCTTTCAAAAGATAGAGCTTAATTTTATGGAGAAAAAAAATCCCAGTGCCTATCCACACCACATATTCTTTGTCGTTCCGCTGTTGGTGAACGCCTGGGTTGGTTCCATGACTTAGCTTTTGTGAACAAGCGTTCATGATTTATTATGACTCCATTAAGTGCTCTGAAGTATATACACAGCACATCATGGTTTGTGAGAAACCTCCAGACTGGCTTCCATGGTGGCTGGACTGCTTTGCCCTCCCACCAGCTATGTATAAGGGCTCCCTTTTGTCCACATTCTCACAGCATTTATTTGTTTTCTTAATGCCTACCATTCTGACAGTGGTGAAAATGACTGCCCATGTAGGTTTTTTTTTTTTTTTTTTTTTTTCTTCCCTGTGTAGTGTATATATGAGTCTTTGGAGATTAGAATAGCTAGCAAAGACTTTTTTTCCCCTGAAGGATCAATTTTACTGTTTAGTGAGATTCAGGGTTTGTCAGGACCAAGGCTCATGCCCAGTGGAATTGTGTTTGTCTCTGACAAGTTTTCAGTGCTCAATGGCTTCTGTGCAAGAAGCTGGTCACTCAGGCCTGGGATCCTAGCTGGCCCTGAGCAGATGTGGATCATTTCTCAGTCTGTGTGTTTGCCTCACACCCATGCATTCCCTCCAGAGTTTGAGCTGAGGTACTTCCTTCTCAAGACAGTGTGTGGCCATTTGGCCTCGTCTTGTCTCTGGCAAGAGGAAAGGAAAGTGGTTCTATCCCCTACTAGTTCCTGGAAGTTAAAATCTCAACATGGATAGGGCTTTCTGTGCAAAAAAGGCGAGTCATGAGGTAAAACCTCAGCTTTGTTTGGGCTTCACCCCACCTACTTGTGTGGAGACCCATGGGAGAAATTATCACCTGAGGCAGTTTGCCTGTTTGGAAAACTTGGTGAGAGGCTGTCTAAAAATGCAAAAGTGAAAAGAGGCTGGGATATTGCTCAACAGCTGAGTCCCTGCCTAGAATCCCCCAGTGAGGGTCTGGGGTGTGGCTCAGTGGTAGAGCCCCTGCCTAGA